CACACACACACACACAATTTTCGATATCACCGTGAAAATAAAATATTGCGCTAAGTCAAGATTTTTAAATAGCTATTTTATTTACGAAAAGTATTAAACACAAAAGTCAAATATAATATAACACAAAAATTAATTAAATCTTACAAAAAGTATATAGTTATTCTTACGTCAACAACCTAACCCGCAACTCGACGTTTCTTCGACAAAAACGTCCAGTCTCGTCTCGCTCAGTATCGTCCCGTGTCGACCCCCTATACTCTTCATGTTTCCCTTTTATATTCTTTTTCCCACCATTATTAATTTGCTTACCCTGCATTTCCCTTTTATATGGAATTATTTTATTGCTTAGGAGTTTAAAAATTGCTTACTACTATGTAAAACTTATATTATACTAAAATCGATGTAATTCAATACTTCCTCATATATTTACTACAACCTGTAACGGAATCCTAAAGGTGCAGGATGAATATTAGCAGCACCCATTCCTCTAAGGTAACTAAAACAATTTTCCAGCATTGGTTGAGAATTCTAGTGAGAATATATTTCACTCCATATAATTCATTTATATCAGAAAATAAATTTCTCAATGAATTATTTGTTAATAGGATTCCTTTTTGGAATGGCATTAGTACTCTTTTGCTATGTACACGCATTGTTGATATTAATTTGTCCATTTGATCTAGTATTTAATTTTGGTTTTTTATATCTAAACCATACGCCAAACATTTGGTGCTTTGTGATACTAGGGAATTTAACATATTAAACCACGCATCAATGATATTAAATGTGTCTGACAACTAAACAAGCATATCAGGTAAACATACATATTTTAAAACTTATTTTTTTTATCTTACTGCTTCTCAATTACAATTTTTTTCCAGCGTATGAAATAGCTGTTGTGACAGACTTAGAAAAAAGTTGTGCTGCTAACTTTACTTTTTGCCGCATTGGACGCGAACAAGTCAAATGGGCATCAGTAAGCTTAAATGCCAATTTCAGATCTTGCTTGCTCATGCCCAGCAATACTTTTACTGAATTGATACTTATGAACTTCTCAGATTTGTCATCCAAAATAAATCCATGCTCTAAAAAATTGTTTCTACATAATTTGAGCAAATGTGGAACATCAGCAAAAACATGGACCCTATGTCCCATGACTGGATGTTGGAAATTTGGAAGAGTGTAGGAAACATTCATATTTTTCCAAAGACCTTGATTGGTAGGCCCCAGATCACTTACTACTCCAACTACTATGAACCCTATTTGGTGTAGTTTAGATATTATTTCTATTAAAATGTCTGTTGTCATAGGTGTGTCATAATTGTAGAAAATGGGTTGTTTCCACTTTGACACCAATCCTCTGGCCATGACAACCTGACCAGTTTTATGAGGACCAATTACTTGTTCTTTAGTTTTATCAAACTCAATTTGATTGGACAAATACATCTCATCGAAAGATAAAACAGTTAATTTATCATTGATCTCCATATCCATTCCTAGTATTTATTAATTGGTAAGACTATTTGTAAGTATTAAATAAATTACTTCTTATATAATCTATTAGTTTTATTATTATTACTTAAAATTCAATATTTTATTTAACTTCTCATATTAGTAACATATTGCTTGTTATAAAAAAAATTATAATTGTTATTATATAAACCCATAACTTGAGCTATTTATCAAATGTTTTGTTTAAAATATTCAATTTCAGTAATATTTAAGACTATGTTTTGTATTCTTATTGACAATATATATTTTAATCAAAATTAGGATCAACACATACCTTTGGTTTCCATTAATTTATTTACATTTTTTAAAATTCCAGGTTGTAAGTCAAAAGTTGACACCCATCGTCTTAATATACTCAAACCTAATAAATTTTATTATTGCATAACTATTTAGTATTACCAATACAACCTAATACAATACCTGGCAAAGGATAATTTAACTTATCTCGTAAGTAACGGTATGCTTTTGGTGAAATACTCCTCAATGTTATGGCTGAAGCTATGTCATCACAAGACCATTGAGCTACTTTTTTTTTTATTTACCAATAATTCAATTTGAGTTTTGCTAAATATATTTTGAAAAAGTTCTGCTGCTTTTGTAGGAAAATTTTCTTGGTAATCAACTATAACTGATTTTAATGGAGTATTTTCCAGCTGTAGGTTTTCTATCGGTCTGAGAGAATTAATAAAGATAAAAAGATATAGAAATTATAACAAATATTTTATATGAAATAATATTTATCATCATTGTTTTAGTAATATGTGAATGATAATTAAATAGTGTTCTGCAATAAGCAACCCTCATTCAATAAATAGATGTTGTATTTTTATTAAAATATAAAAAGTTTGATTTTAAAACTTAAAAAATAAAAATAAAAATTATTAAAAAAATAAAGTTGTTTGCATATAACAGAAAGCCGTTTAATTTAATTTTTAAATAAATTAATATACACCTTTTCATTTCAGCTATTTTAGTATCTGCTGTAGAAGTATTAACAGGGTCATTGCTATTAGACAAAACAAGCCGTACAAAAGAAAGATTACATATTTTTTTACTAATAAAATTAAATAATGTATTATGTAATTCTTACATTGTTAGAAAATAAACTTTTTTTACAGCTACTTGCTGCTTCACAATTATCAGTTGATTCAACTGTCCAAGTGTTGGGTTTCAACTTTTTCATACTGCTAAGTTTAGCTGGACTTTGTTTTGCCATGGGACTTTTGTGTGGTGTAATTATTTTCCTTGGACTTCTAACTTTAAAGGTACTACCAACTAAACCCTAATATGTAATGAACAATAATAATTTTATTATAGTTTTAATATATTTACTTTAATCTGTATATTTACATGTAAGCATTTAGTTGGTACTGCATCAAATTTTAATTTTCTTTTATGTTGAGAAGAGTATTTCAACAACGTCTCAATTAAAGGCTTTTCAATACAAGAATTATCAAAATGTTTTGAACATATACGAGCTATTGAATAACAATTAAAAATAAAAATACAATACAACAATTTGCTGTTTTGTCAATGTCAATAAATACCATTGGTGAAGTTTAATGGTTTCATATGGTTTAGCCTGTTACAAGCTCTTAGCCATTTTTGACGAAATTCCTCTTGTTTTGAAAATGAATAAAAATTAATATTTTCTGATTTAAATTATAATCAAAATTTAAAAATAATTATAAAACAATTTAAAGTGATATCTATGCATCTCTTATTTTTGTTTCCAATATATTTAATAAAAGTTTCAATTTTTATATGTAATTCGTAAATAAAATAGTAACTTATGAGCTTATAAGCCTATGAAATATTGGTCTATAAAAATATTGAAAGTTTTGTTTGTTAATTGAATTAATTTGATCTATGTATTTAAATATTGAAATTAAAACTTTGAAATAAAATTACAAGTATATTTTTAAGTTAAACGAATGACTAATTTTATTGAAATTGTGTAAACAATTCTAATTTTATTCTATTATTCTAGGAAAGTACTATCACAATAATTGCAGGTCCCTTATAAGGTCATTTTGGTATTTTATAAAGTAAAATAGTTTAGATGATTTAAGTATAAATTTTTACCAAATTAATACTACTCTTTTATCAATTTAAAATTGCACCAAAGTTTTATTTACTAGTGAGTTGTATTACACTTGATGGTGTAAACATAGTAAACTTCCATTTTACATCTTTTACATACTTAGCAATAATCCTTTTATTAATTTATTTAAATATAATAATACAGAGCAATATTTCAGATAAATTTATATTATAAATTGACACTTAAAGCTGACTGAATCTTACCACCAGAACCGTTGCACTTATAAACTGCGCAAGTAGGCATTTTTTGTAAAATAAAAAAATTTTTTAAAATAAGTTTCAATTATGTTTGTTTATATTCACTACATATAAAGTAGATTTGAAAAATATTTATTAAATAGTATCAAACAAAAAAATACTCATATATAGGTTAAAAAGTTACAAATCTCTACTATGAGACACATAGAAGAGAAATGAATAAAATACAACAATTTCATGCAAATAATAAGAATTTTTATTAGCAAGTTATAGTGGTGTTAATTCAATGTTAGAATTTGAAAAAACAAGTCTGTACACTAGTTAATATAGCTCACATTTAATTAACAAGGTACAAAATCCTAATTTTTTATTAAAATACAAAAGATACAAAAAAAAAATTCATAGAATCTAAAATAAGTATTCACGATTAAACTTATTACAAAATAAAATTGCAATGCATTGTTTTAAAGTAATTAATATAATTATTACTTAAAAATTATGTTTATTATTGATATTATATCAGAATTTTCAATTTAAAAATCGCGCGACTTTAAAGTGCATTCGGCAGCAGTCGTATTTTACCGATCATATACAAATTCACAAAAACACAAGGCGATGCACATGCGCCAACTACGACGAAAATGCGGACTATGATCGAGCATACTTATTCATTTTACTATGACTTAACGTTATTTTTGCGGCGGGTCGTAGATGGACGTGCGGCACTTGCTGGACTTTGTACCGTGGCGTATCGCACGCGGTGTTAGTCAGTCAAACTACCATATGCACGTTGTAGGGCGACGGTTGATAAAGGTGTCACGGGTCGCGTAGCTCCGTGTATCGAGAACGCCGAGGGACCGTGTCAATAAGTATACATAATAATGTATAATTATCAAATTTGACAAAGTCATTACTGAAAAATCGGTAACAAATGTAGTTTTTGAAATGACTGATTCAATTGAAGTGCTGAAGTTTCAAAAACAACCAGCATTTTGTATAACATACAAATTCATGCAATTTTGAGCCTTAATCAGGGTTGGGTAATAAAATGTATACTTGGTTTTATTTACACAATGCATAATACACATACTGGTGTTCAGTAAGTATGGAAACAGGTCAATTGTTATGAACATAAGAACTATAGATACCTGTTTCCTTACTTACAGAACATGTATACATGTAGATGTATAAAATGTATAATACTTTAAAATTTTTTTATTCTTTAAAGATCACACTGATTTTAAATCTTTTTATTTAATAAACATCAGTTTATAATCTCATAAAATTAACTTTTTATGTTTTGTGTAATAAATTATGTGTTAGTCATTCTTATGAAAATTTGTTGGGATATCAGCGATTATATTTTTAAAGTGAAGTAAAAATTAATAAATACAATATTTTAATATACATTAAAAAAAAATCTACTTTTAATTATCAATCATATGTCATGATATAAGTATTGTTTGTAAAAAAGTAGATGTGTAATATGTACATATAATACTTATACTTTTGTGTATTATACTGACCCAACAGTAATGTTGAGGCCCACAAAAAATATAGTATTTGATAGTTGTTAATTATTTCTATGTACACAAATTTATTACTTTAAATGTAAGTATAGTATGTTCATATTAATTAAACAGTTTTTGTTCTAATAATAATGTATTTATGAGAATATAGACAAGATGTAATATAAATTAGTAATTATAACTAAATAATAAAAATATTGCAATACATTTTTCTCTATACTAATATAATAACTTTATGGATTAATTAAGTAATGTATTATTAATTTAATTAAGATTATGATTGTAGGAAAGATCTAGCAAATTTTTAGGTTAAATTTGAATGTAAAAATATTAGCATTGCAATATATTATAAGCCATTTAAAATTAAATTTTTTACTTTATTGATAACTAATTTTGTAAATATTTTTGTATAGTTGATTAAATTCTCTTTAAAAGTAATTTTTAATTTTACCTTATTATTTTTTTAGTTTAATACAAAATAATATTGAAATGTAAATAATATATCTATTATTGACTGATTAAGTATTAAGTTTATGTTTTTGTATCTTGTATAGCATTAAAAAATTGAAACTGTACCATTTTAAAAGAAATAACTGTGATTTGAATTTTTATGGTTTAATTTATCAAAATAAAATTTAATATGGTTTTGGTAATATAGTGAAATTCTAAGAATATTTAACATACTAAAAAATAAGTTTTGAATTGAAATCTATGATTTTAGTTTAAGAACAGTGATTAATTTCAAATTAATTCAAACATGAAATAACAACTAATTAGATAATTGATTTNTAATTTGTTCCAAACCTATCGATGGCCGACCTAATGTCGATTTTACTGAATCTTCGGAACGTTCAAAGAGACGTAAAATATCTTTTAAATCGTATAAATTGATTCTTGATATCGTGTAAGTAGTAAATATAGTTATTAAAATAGTTAATTAACTAACATACCAATGTACTGCAATAAAAATAATTTACACATTGATAGCGATGAAACTTAGCTGAGTTCTTATAGCCGATAGAAGGTTTTAATAGGATAGTTACCTCTAACATCTCTAGGAAGGGTTAATTATTAATAATTTTTTTTTATTGAAAAATTATTAAAAAATTGTTTAAAATTTAAGTTGGTAAAAAAGTATAGAAACACTGAATATTCATTATTGCCAGTATTCATAAAAATACACGCTCATTATCTTTTTTTTTTTATTACAAGGTTTGGTTTTACCTGTTTAGCGGGAAAAGGAAAAAAGGGAAGTTTTTATACGCGCAAATTGAAAACTGTTCAACTAAAATACTACCATATACATATAAGTATAATTATAACCTAAAATTAACCTTCTAAATGTAATCGTGCTTAGACTTTTACATGAATTTATTAACAGTCCTTTGCATTACGAGTGTTGTGTGCTAAACGTCAGCAATAACATGTATGTTGGTTAAACTATACATAAAACTAATAGAAACGTGTTAAAAATTATTATCATAATACGTTATTGTNACATCAGCAATAACATGTATGTTGGTTAAACTATACATAAAACTAATAGAAACGTGTTAAAAATTATTATCATAATACGTTATTGTTAATATTATAAAAATTGTGGAATATTTTTCTTCAAAATTTTATGTTGAAGTACCAAGTATAATATACATATGAGCTATTCATAAAGTCACATCTGATTACTTTTATTAATAAAGATTCACTTTCATTAATTAGATGTTTACAAAACACGTTTTACTGAAGTTTATTATATGAATTATTGAGTTGTTTTATTGATTACTGCTACTATTAGTGAGTAATATTTTTTTTAAACAATTTGCAATTTTTTACTAACGCATCATTTATTATTCATAAATATATATGTTTACGAGGAGATCAGTGAAGGATAAGACACTCATTTTCTGAAGAACTATTGAGAATTAAAATTTTTGAAAATAAATAAATATTAGGTTTTTAAAACTACAAAGATATATTTTATTAAGTATGAAATAAACCCCTAATTATGTTTAACAAAGAAAAAATGAAGATCATCTAAATAAAAATTTCGGTCATTTTATGTATCTCTTACAAATTAGAAAATTTGATATATATATTTTTTTAAATTAATTCAATTGGTGCTGACTACATCATTATGCTAACAGTTTAATGCAATTAAATTAAATTTAACTAGAGTACAATTTTTGAATGAAACATTTAATATCATATCATATCAACACTCTAAGTTCGTTTAAACTAATGAAATAAAAATTCATTTAAGCTACGGATTAAAAATTTTTTATTTCATTTTTTTGTGTGAGACTTCAGTTTAATAAATAATCAAGTCTGAATATTAATATACATAATACATGTATATGTATATTGTATTATATACATACAATTGTATATTTAATATAATGTATATATTTATTTTATTTAAAATGCAGACTGCTCATTTGAAGACTCAGACAAAGAATACTTTCTTTGTCGATGGGTTTTTGGCTCATTTACATTAGTTTGGCTCATACCTAATTCCATAACCATCTCTTCAAATGTGGAATCAATATGGGCGATTTTCTTGTATTCCACAATACATTTGGGAGGAATAGTATGATTTTCTATCATGGACACAACATTTTTGTCGACCGTCTGTGAAAAAAAAATGTATTAGTTTTGGCAAATCTATAAACGGACATTGGTTTTTAGCTATCAAATAAGTTGTTCGAAATATTCTATCAGTATTTTCCTGATTTATTTTTCATATCATTTATTTATATCATTTTTAGACAATAATCTACGTACATAAATTTAAAGATACTTCTTCAACTATTCTATTAATTGCAACAGGTAACTGGGAAGAATTTAATTTTGTTAAATTTGATACTGGAGACATATTAAATATTTTAAGTACGGAGTCAATTTTATTAATTCTCTCTTCTTTCGAAATAAATGGATCATCATTTAAAACTTTCATTTAATGAGTTGGCTAATATTTCTACAGAATTACATTCTACATCTTCCGATACAAAAATATTACCATAACAATTACAACACAAAGATTTATCAGGAATTAAAGAAATATTTTTTTTTACTTTTGATAAATGTTGTAAGCTTATTTTCCTTAACCCCTTTTTTATAGAACGTTTGTGAACCCCCAATGGATCACAACATGTTCGTCCAAATATATATTTGTACTTTTATAAATATTTTTTCACATGGTACTCACAGATGGTAGTAATAATATCATGTACTCTTTTACAAAGTAATTCTTTTTCGTCGTAATGAAAATCATTGATATTTTTCAAATTAACTGATATTGAATCTTTACTCTTATGGTAAACATTTTGATGACACTTTTCATTTAAATACATTCCAATAGAACAGCACATTTTTTTTTTTAAATAACAAATGAAATAACTAAATATAAAAGAATTTAAATAATGTAGTACTATAAAATATAAAATTGATAGCAAAATTTTGAATAAAACCAACTAAATAAAGTACATCTATATTCAGCACACAAGTTAAACCCATTTATTTATAATTCTACCTTTATAGAGAGCAAATGGTAAAATAGGTAACGATATAAAAGTGATAAACATAATAAAATTAATCGTTTATCTGAAGATAAATATAAAGATTTCTTTTAGTGTAATTTAATGATAAATGATAAAAAAAAAAATGAACGATTTCTAGATTATATTGTGTATATACAAAAGTTGAAAAGAGACGTTATCGTAATTAAATTGCAGTACATTGAACAAATCATTATTCAAGTGTAATAAGATAGATTCTTCTCATTTAAAATAATTTTGAATAATATCCTAGAAAAATCTAACAAAAATTTAATATAATTTACATCTATAATTTATTTATTTTTTTAATTGATCATTAATACATTTTTCATGTACTCAATATTTTGAGGAATTTATATAATATATATATTATACAGACACAAAAACTTTTTTTTTTCATAAACTTAAAAAAAAAACGTAATTTTGAAAGTTAATTTTTCGTAAGTTGCGGTCAAATATCAAACTTGAAATTTTTTTCATAGAAACTACATACATAGTACTATATTGTGTGAAAAAATCATATTAAAATATTTTGTTCCACCAGAGAAAAATTAAAATAAAAAAGCTTAAAAATTGATTTTTTAGAAATTCGAGCATTTTTAAATATGTCCCAATAAAAAACGGTAAGAGTAAAATGTTTCAAAACACAATTAAATATTACTGTGAGTGTACGTCAATATTTAGGAAAAAAAATTAATTAAAAAAAATGTTTTTTCATAGTCAATTCGATTTTTGAAAATTACATTATTTTGTAAAAAAAAGCTCAATTTAGAAAACAAAATTTTCCAACTTCAAAGCTAAAAAACGTGTAAAGTGGTCGCGCAACGACTTTGGATGATTTGATATGGATTTACCCTTATGTTAAAATAAAATACTCGATTTTGCATCCAATACAAATAATTGTTTTTTATTTTCATTTTCTCTACGTTTTAAATTACTATTATGAAAAGCGGTATCAACGTGTTGTTGTAATTGAAATTTTCTTGAGCACACGATTTTTTTGTTACACAATTGATAGAACACTATAGAGCCGTATGTGGTAAAAACGATTTGGTCAGTTTTATTATAAAGAGCAATCCATGTTTTTAATAAAGTAGGTACAGAGTTACGACTTTTCGGCATTTTAAAATTTAATCGTTTTGAAGTATAAATTGTAATTTATAAATTTACGGAATGCGGATCGAAAAATGATGTATGGACACTAGTTTTTCGTATTTAATTTTTTAGTTGTATTTATTAAGCTGAACAAGTTTATTTTGTGTTAACAAAAAATATTTTTCTTTTGGCAAATTTTAATTACATTGATTAGAAACTTTTTGTTTATTATTAGTTGCCCCTATTTTAATCCGTACAATGGAGTTCTGCTCCCCCTTTTATTTTGTTTGGGTTTCTTAAAACAGCCTAAGCGGCAACAATCTATATTAAGTTACTTAATAGATCATACATGCTACACAGTAGATAATTAATATCTAAATTATTATGGGTGAATAGTGAACAATTTACACTTGAAATTATTTTTCCTATAGAAAATAATGTTCAGTATAATAATCAAACCAAATGATACAATAATAAAAGTAGTAACGCTGACACAATTAATAATAAAAATCTATGGTGGTGCCAAGACAAGTTTAATAAAGAATGGTAAAAAGTATTAAAAAAATATGTTTTACATTTAGTTATAAATTTATTATTGGTTTGTATAGCAGCCGTAATCGTTTCGGACGGCGTGCTGTGTCATCCACATCTATGGTATTTATATAATTTGGTGGGAGTTACCGTTGTTTTGTCAATCTAATGACCGTAATTAGACGAATACAGGAACTCGTTAACAATCAATCATCGACGAACTGCCATTGTGTTTGTGTGTAGTGTAGTTACCTATAGTTGATGAAAAATTTTCTTCGAATTTGTTTCAGTCATGTCACCAACCTCATTGAGTAAGTACATTATTACTGTTAAAAATAAATTTAGCTATTATATGATTATTACTAATTTAAATATAAATTATAAGTGATTTCATATTTAACTGTTGTTAAATATAGTACTTCTTTTGGTTAATAATGCTATATAAGTGATGCTCATAAAAATTCAATTAAAGATTAATAGCTTTTTTTACTTAAAGTATTAATACTTCATTTTTTTATGTTAGTAGTTTTGTTATCGAAATAAATTATTGAAAATAAGAAAAAATCATTTTTACCTTTTGACTTAAATTTATTTTATTATTATTAGGTTTTATTGTTATAATTAATTAAATTATTATTTAACTTATGCTCTTAGAATGAAAAGGGTTTTAACTGCATAACATTGTATTTTTGCTTGAAATTAGTTTTTAACATAGTTCATAAGTAAGAGAAAAATTGTCAACAAAATATTTTAGTTTATTTAATCATTAATATATGCATAATTAAAGTGTGTTGCCTATCTGCTTCATATACGCTATAAGTACCGTAAGAATACCAATATTCTTTTTTAAGAATTAAAGAATTAAGAAATTAAGTGTCTACACAAAAACAAAACAATTTTAAATTTTAAACTTTAAAAACTTAATTATTTTAAATATTTTGTAACATTTAAAAAATAAAAAAATAATATTTATAGTGAACATATAATGTAAAATAATTTTTATAACTATACGTGTTAAAAAAATAATAGCCATAATAATAATAATATTAGAATAATTGGGTATTCTAGACTTCAAGGTATTAACGAATGGTATTTATAAAAATAATTTTTATTTAGACATAAAGTGACGTTACGTTAGATTCGTCGATTGTATAATTATCTTTAATTTGTGTTATACAAGTTTCAATGAAAACATTTTCATTAAATATTACCGGGATGTATAGTATAACAACTGTGTCATTAGTATATGCCATTTTCACTTTAATGACGGATTCCAATAAGCACTTAATAGAAACATTATGCGTAAGAGAAAGGTCTATTATGTCGATTTTTTCATGAAAATAGAATTTTAATTTCTTATTAACACGCTTATGTTAGTTTCACCTGTATGTATGTATGTTTGTAACTATACACGTGTTATCATTTTCGCGTATCCCGTTGTAACCCAACCTTGAGACTTGACTGTCGTAACGCAATTACCCGACCCCGCTCACCATTCGCCGGCAAGACTATTCTTGTACAATTTTATTTTTGGTTTTTGTACCCGTACATGCGTGCATGTCATCAATATTATATATATATATAAACAAATTTTTATTCTTTATTAATAAACATTTAAAGATTCAATTTTTTTAAAATTAATATACGTGTACATAAGGTATTACAAATACAGGTAGCTAATTGGTTTTTTATGACTATATTAGCAAACATATAGCATTTATTATCAATGGCCATAAGACACATTGTTGTGATTTTATGAACACAATAACTGGCAATACAGAAATTATATCTATTGATAGTGATAATTGACAATACACAATCCGTGACTGTAACAATGATGTCATAAAAAACTAAAAAGTGAAAAATAAATATAGTTTAAAAGCGTGTTTTTTAGTTTTTTTAAACTATATTTATTAAATCAATAAATCCAATGTATTCATTATGAGAATTGTAGTAGAGAATTCTGAGTAATTTTATGTTAAAATTTCTTTAGATTCAATTTTTAAATTACTTTAGTGTAACCTAAAATATTAGTTTTACCAGCTATACCTTCCAAACTAGTACACGAATTACTCCAATATCTATGTCCTTTGGGTAAATTTCTTATCTTTATTAGGCTGGCCTAGATTAAACTATCAATCATAACAGTAACATTTTTATTTAGGTCAGATGAAAGTTTTTTACATTAAGATATGTCAGATTGAGGAGATGCATGTACAATAGATATTTGTTTTGTATCTTTATAATTTATATTTTTACTTGTACTAGGTTCATTTTGAAGAGAATTTTTAATTTATAACATTCCTCTTTTGTGTGATAATATTTTTTGCAATAATTACAAAATTTCTTGTTATTATTAATACTGTTGATAAAACTGTTGTTATTTTTAGAATTACCATTACTGAAATTAGAGTTTATAAAATTAAAATTAAACTATTTTAGTTTTATCATAGTTATTTCGAAAAAATAATCTAACGAATAATTATTTTTTACAGAAAAATGTGCACGATTATTAATATTATATGAACTAACAGAATATTTCACTAAATTATTCTCAAAATAATTTCGGAGTTCTTTTTGTTTTGCCACTGCGATTGCATCGCATAAATTTTTAAAATCATTAATTAAACAAATTATTTTAATTTGAAAATCTCTTTTAAACGCGCCTAAGGCTTAATATTCACATATTTTTCTATTAGCTGATTTTTTTATTTTAAATTTCAATTAATTATTATATACCTAATAATATTTTATTTCAAACCTTTCAAGCCCAACCCAACCGAACTATTCAGGTTTTCGATTTTATATAGTTTAATAGTTTGTAGCTACACATAAATGTTCAGGACGAATTTCTTTGCCATAAGTATTAATAGATGGATGTTCTGACCAGTCCTTAACTTATACAGAATTAATGAATTCTCTAGCTTTACCTTTAATTTTTAATTTAATGGATAAAAATAATTGTTTGTGTTGTTAATTTTTGGCCATAAAGTATAGGCGTCATTTACTGTACTAATAAAATTATAAAGCGTATTAGATTGACCTTTTAATGGTTCACCAATAAATTGTGCTAATTTAAAAATAGAAAAATTATTTTGTGTAGTTATTTTTGTTATGAGTTTAACAAGTTTTTAAGTTTTAAAAAATAGTTTTGATACGAGTTAATATGGTTTGTACCTTGAAAAAAATTGAAATAAGTAAAATCAACCGATGGTATTTTACAAAATATAAAATTTATTCTACCTATTGCTTAACTAGTTTAAACTAATTACAAATGTGTCGCAAGACAAAAATTAAAATTAAAAGGTGGAAAGGGAAGACAAAAGATGAGTAAAGGTAAGGTTGTAGGGTAATTCGGAGCATGTGTGATCGAAGGTCTTAGTCTCGCAATTATAGCATGCAAATCTGTTTTTACAATCTTAACTGGTCGTTGTTTAGTATTACAGTATCCTTATTGTTCTAATATTGTTGTGAATAACATTCATGTGATAAATAAAGCAATACTAAAATATCGTAAATAACAGATTAATGTAATTTATTATCACCTTTATATCAATACAGGAAAAATAACAGTGATGAATAGATAATACAAAAATAATATCAATATATATTAATAGATACAAATTTAACGTTAATATAACTAACGCGATTTTAACAACAGAGATAGTCGTCACACGAGAACCGAGCGAAGATCGCGATGTGTCGGTTGAGGTGTACGATCGAAACAGAACGGTTGCCCAGTGTATCCTTTTTTTCCTTCAAGAAAAGTCATCATCGCCAAGTTTTCGTCGTTTTGGGTACTCATCATAAACTTACGAGGGTATGTATTTATAGATTATATACAGTCTTATTTTAATATACAGGGTGGCCCACCACTCACTGACAACTTAAATAACTTTTGATCCAGTTAATATTTTTAGCTGATTTTTTTTTTNGAGGGTATGTATTTATAGATTATATACAGTCTTATTTTAATATACATTATAATGCAACAATGTTTATTTATTAAACTGTGACATACATGATGGGACAGAGCGGATGTGTATGAAGCGTGATTGTGTCAACTGTATGTTTAACGTTATAGAGAAGAAAGTATATTGTTGTTTATAGTGTTTTGTGTGATATGATGTATAGTGTATGATAGAATTTCTATAGTGTTGAGAAGTTGAAAGAAAGGTATAGTTTTATGGTAAGGGCATATTACAATATATGGTATTTACCAGAAAAGAGCCATGAAAAACAACATTTTCATTTTTTTTTCAATTGTTAGTAATTTCAAAATGCCGATGTTAGGTTATCTTGAGGTTAAACAATTTGCCGATTCCTTGTAACCAAATTTTAGCGACATAGACGGTATTTTATTATTAGTTATATTTCATTTATGTGGGATTCCCGCCTAAATGAACAAACATATCACCTTATTTTCGTTTCTAAACTATTTGACTTTTATGCTATCTATTGGTAAAAATTATGTTTCGTTTTGATACTAAATACTTATTAAGCATATAAGATAGCATATGTTGCATCCAATACGACATGACAATAACAATAAAAGATTTAACTATTTGCTTATATCGTTATTATATAAATCATTCTTTATCTTTGCAGCAATTAAAAAATTATTAACTTTCACAATTTTCTAGGAAAATCTTTGGATTTATAATTTAAGTATTGTTGAACTGTCATACAAGTCATTTAAACACTATGGATCAAATGACTCTGTATTTTTATATATTGTACACATCCATTTATGTGACTAAATAATAAGTAAATTTTAAAATAAAAAATATTAGATATATTCAAATTTTGATGATACTCCTAATTAAAAATATTCGTTAAAATATAAAATAAATTTTTTTCTTAATAAGAAGTATTTAATGGTTTTGAGGTATTTTAAACAAGCTTTATAAGTTAGGGGTATTTTATTATTTCAACTTGAAGTTTAAGTACGTCATGAACTTGTCATTGTAGTAAATTTTTTATTAATTAATACATATTGTTTAATAATTGTACTTAGTAATATAAGTATTTATACATCATTAAACATAAAAAAAAACGGGCAGTACTTGGCTGACTCGTACAGAAAGTCTTGTCGCCGGTACGCGTTTTATAATTTTGTTGTAGAAAAATAGGCGGGCAGTACTTGGCTTGCATCAGCGAAAAGTGATGTCGCAGGTACGCGCTTTTAATGAGATAAAATGTTTTAATGAATGAGAAATATCTACATTTTGAGTTGTGTGCATTAATTTGCCAAGAAATAAATTTAAATTTAAAGTGACAAGTTGGTGAAATTATAATGCCTTATTCCAATACAATATTTTCAAAGAAATGAAAATCTTAAAGAAAGTTATTACAAATAAGTGAATAAATTATAATGTATTTTTCTGTTTAAATTATGATTTTATTCTTGCTTGTCAAGTATAGGCTTCATAACCAAAAAGTACTTTTATTAATTATAATTAATAAAAATAATTATTTGTCATTTTATAATTTTTATTATTTTTTTTTGTTATATCTAATATTTATTTAAATAACTTTTAAAATTTTAAATATACATATTGAAATTTTGTAGTTTTTAATACATATTATATTATAATTTAAATTGAATAATTGAATATTAATAAGTTTTACTTAATAAATTAAATTTGACAACCCAAAAATATTTTAGACAGGGTGTTCAATAAGTAATGAAAAGGTCAGTTTTTACAAACAATGAGAACAATAAAAACCTATTTCCTTACTTACTGAACACTATAATTATTGTTTATGGACTTTTTAACTGATAGTTTAATATTATTTATTATTACATATACAAAAGTTTTACCTTATCAATTTTTGCCAATTCAAAATTATTTAACATAATGAATATTAATGTATTTTTAGTATTTTTCTCTTATTATAGTTATTGGCTTGATAACTGACAGTTCAACATTATTCTTCACAAAAACTATTATATGAATTGACTCCAATGGTGTCTTATGGTATTTTATTCAATCGGTGTTTTTGATTTATATAATTTTTTTATTGTTATTGTGAAATTTTTAATTAAATAATTTTAAAAAACTGCTTGCCATAAATTGATCATTATTTTTTAAATTTATTTACCACTCATATTGTTTAAACATTTAAATTTAATTCAAAATAAATATTGTACCTATCAATAATTAAATGATTAATGCTACTGCTTACCTTGATCGTATGTTAAACAATTTTAATATTATTCCCTAACTACTGTCATTATTTAAATTTCTAATCCTAAAGAAAATTAATTTTATTTAAATCTGCTCTTTTTGGTTTTTACTATAATATTATTAGTAGCTAATATAAAATAATATATTAGAAATTAATTTATTTTTCTTTAATTGTTTAGCGATATTTTGCCGTAGGAGTGACAATTCTTTATAACCTACAAGTTAGGGTATTTAAAAATATTCTAGTAAATTTTTTTTTTTTATTAAAAAAAAAATAAAATCTGTGTATAATATACAATATGTATTTAAGATAAAACAATATATACAAAAAAAAAAAACGCTTCGAAAGTCTTGCGGAGAGTCCATCCAATGACAGAACTCCTACTAACATTAATTTAATACAACTTTTATATTACATAATTAAGGGTTAAGCCTATCATAAACATAATAACATTTAAAATTGAAGGAGGTCTTTACACCAAGATCTTTTATGTTGGAGGGGAGAGTTATCTGGGTAAGAGTGAGGATAGATTTTTAATAAGAAGTTTCGGATGATTTTGGAGATGGTTGTGAAAATGTATTAATTGTATTATATATTAAAATGTATTATAGTCATTAATAATGAGAGATAGCAGTTTGTTTTACAGTAGTAATGTGGAGGTATTTATGAATTATTTCGTTTGATATATATGGTGGGACGTTAAGAATTCGACGAAGGAATTTGAATTGTAAAACTTGAATTTTGTTAATATTTGACTTTTTTGCTGCACCCCATAGCTCAATACCGTACGACCACATTGGTTTGATAAAGCTTTTATATATTATTTTAATTTAGTGTGCAAGTTAGTTTTGGCATTTTTGTGGGGTAATGGTTGGAGTATTCTAAGCCGTTGGTTTACACTTATTATTTTTGCATGAATGTGTGGCGACCAGTTAAGTTTACGGTCTAGGATAAGACCAAGATATTTAACTTTATTTGAAGAAAGAACAGAACTGTCATTAATTAAAACTTGGGGAGTATTGTTATGACAAAGAGTAAAAGTAATATGAGAGGATTTATTTTCGTTTAGCATGACTCGCTATTTCTAGTATCAATCGTACATGCAGTTTAGTTGTAATTTCTGTAGAGCAGCAGCAATGTTATGGTTTTTATGAATTGAAATAAGTACTTTGTCATCCGCATAGTCTGCCATTGACAGTTGATATTTGGTATTGGACAGTTATAGGTATTGACATATATGGTATATAGGTATTGACAGTTGTTGGTTGGTCAGCAGTATAAATATTAAATAGTAAAGGAGAGGGTATTGCACCTTGGGAAACACCAGATTTCATTAAATGTAAAGGGAAAATTTCTATGCCGACTTTTGTCGCAAAAGTGTGGTCCTCCAGATAGGACTTATAGAAAAGAAAATAGGAAAGTGAAAGAATATTACGGAGTTTGAGTAGAAGACCTGGATACCAGACTGGATTACAGAAGAACAATAAAGTTTGTTTTCCAAACTAGAGGAAATCATATCAACCACACGATGTACTTGATGTATTGTGTAGTGTTTTCCTCGAAAACCTAATTGATTATTTGGAATAACGTTATTTTCTTTAATTATAACATTCACTATAGAGAGTAAATTATTTAGGTTACTAAGTGACGCGTGTATTGTAATGTCGGGATGAGGTTGAAAGACTTGACTGAAATGCAACCCAAAAAGAACAGATTTGTCATAGTCATTTATAGCCCAGTTCGATTCCCCATTTTTAAGGGAGGTAAAGTAGTCCTTTTACGCATGATAGAATTCGTGGCTTTCCATAGGGAACCATTTTTCACCGAAAGTGAAGAAGTGAAATTCTATTAAATATCAGGCGTTTTAACAATATTTAAAGTAAAAGAATACTGGGAATATTGTTTGTAAAATAAACATTCAGTTTTTAGTTTAAATTGAAATCTTAAAAGTATACGTATTTTATTTTTTATAAATTATTATTATTATTTTTTAATTCTATAATTCTAAAAGAAATATTTTAAAGTTTAATCGTAAATTAAATCTGAAAAATAATTGTTGTTCAATGTAGATTTAAATAGCTAGTCTAATAAAATTTTAATACTAATATCTTCAAAAATCGTGGCAGGAGCGCTTTTGGGTACTACCGCCCAGTTGTTAAATACTGGCGCAGATGTTGATTATTGTGAGGCTAATATCACGAACCCTGACAATTCTACTCGAGGTAGAAACTCCTTTGGTGTAATGTCATCATCGGTCACACGTGATATATCAGTATACACGATAACAATTAACCCGATCTTGGTTGTGTGATCACGCATGGCACAGGCAAATGTGTTGAAGTAACAAAAGGTTTTCGGGTAAGAGTAGGAATGCACCAAGATTCTGCTTTAAGCCCTTACTCATTTTCTATAGTGATGCATGGTATGGGTGGTTGAAGTGGAGAGTAGCGTTTGGCGTAACACCAAGTAATTGGGATTAAGGCGAGGAAAAAAAAAGAGGAAGATCTTCAAAATTCATTTTATGGCTCTTGAACTTCTAATATTGGTTTTTGTTTTTTACATTGACGATAGCACATTCTTGTTTGATATACAGTGGTATATCAATATGCAAGCCACAACTCTCCGGTGCAGTTTTTGTGACACTCAATAGTCCGTCAATAAATAATAGCGACCATCCGCAATTATAATATTTAAAGTTTTTGTTCATAAATTATTAATGTAGGTTAATTTTCTTGCGACAATGGGTTTCGGTCATTGTGATGCCCATGGAATATAACTATTTTATGGATAAAGACTGTTGTATTGAAAAATGATGGACCGTCATTTTCGTCGAATATTTCTTTTTCAGTTTCTTAAAAAAATAATTATAAATTTAATAATATTGAAGACTATGACAATCTATGTCCATTAATTTGAAGCGTATCCTAGGACATAGACTTAACTTATCGATTGACTATTCCATTGCATGCTAAATTCTTTAGTTTTCTCATGTAATAACNATTCTTTAGTTTTCTTATGTAATAACTGTCACCTTTTTGAAAAATAACACACATACTTTGTCCATACATTACAATAAGAAGGATTTAAGTTCATATACANGCTAAATTCTTTAGTTTTCTCATGTAATAACTGTCACCTTTTTGAAAAATAACACACATACTTTGTCCATACATTACAATAAGAAGGATTTAAGTTCATATACAATAAACATGATGAATATGATTTATCTATTGACTGTTGTGTTATACGAGGGCATTCCATATCTTCCATGTTAATAGCAATCATGTGATATGTTTACCTTTGTTAAACATATCGCACTCCTAGAATACAATCGGCATAACTTAGTAATAGTAATTACTGAGAAAATGCAATTAAAAATGTTAAGAATTTTCAAAACCATCTAATAATACCAATTTTTGTAATATTTCGACTTTTTTTTTTTAATTAGTTGTCATTAATCAGAGTTTTCTATTTTTATAGGAGTTCCCTATTATTTAACACCACATAAAAAAAAAGGTACACAAAAAAAAAATCAACTTTAATAAATGAAAATTTTAAATAGAAAAACATATATATTGTTTATTTTAACACATTCTACTTCGAATTAATATTAAAATTATTTATCACATTTTACTTTGAATTTATATCAAAATTATTTATCACAGTGTACTTTGACTTAGTTAAAAACTTAAAATTAATTAAACATTATCATGTACGAATAATTACAAGTTAACATAAAAGGAGTGAAAAGATTGAGAAATGTGATTTTTAGTACCTAATTTCATGAGATCTTCTTTTTTTTTGGTGCGATTCCACATGGTTTTGAATATGCCCTACCCAATTCATCCATGACCAATATTTCTTGGTGGACTCTAGTTTTTTTTGTTTTTACGAAGTTGATGGTTTTAAATGTATCATCTTTGTACGAGGTCTTATACTAAAAATTGCTTGTTTGACCACAGGATTGATTTATGACCTTGATGTCATTGAAATGTATAGATTCTGAATTAGTATTTGTATTGAAATTATTTTCAATCCGTGAAGAATACTCCTTGAAATTAAAAAAGTTTGAATGATTAAGTTCTTCAACTTTGAAAAACTTTCTGTAAACATATTTGGATATTTTTGAATTTTAATATAATAATTTATAGTTTCATAATTTATGTATTACTGGAAATTTATACGGTAACTCATCAGTTATAAATTTGGCAGGAGTTGTAATGCATACCGTAACACTGAAGTCCTCTTTTCGATTCAGTCCCACTTGCAAAATTTTCTGACAATAGGTATTTGGGTAGTTTTTCGATGTTATCTTCTAAATACCCTAAATGCATATTTGATTAGCCAAGATGGAACTTGTTTGTCAAAAAACTTGAAATTTGAGTGCAAAGCGGTTTTTAAGACCGAAAAAACGATTGATTATGGTGTTAGTATTATCAAGAGCTGTTTCATAACCATACGCAATTGGTCTGTTTACGACACGGTAAGCGTTAATTAATGGAAGAGCAAATAGTGTTTTGGCAAGAAAATTGTCATAGAATAACCCCAAATAGCACGGACCTTCTCCTCACCAAGAGGAACAAGATGAGAGCGGATAAGAGCGTAGCAATCAGGCATTGCAACATGTTGACTAATCTTGATCTTATGACAGAAAAATCGAATGTGGTTGGTGGCATAGTTTGGCGAGGTCCCAACTATTAGATACTTGTCGTCCTGAACGCCTGGCTCGTCCCCTGCATATTTCGTAGCCTATATAATGGTGGTCAGAACCATTATACACATCCTCCTGTACCTTCTAGCTACAC